CAGTGGTACTCACCTAAGCGGAACTGGAGGTAGTCTGACTCACAGGTCTGGTGGTTCTCCAGGTGCAAGTCCTCTATCAGCACCACAATAGAGGAATTGATGTGCTGTGGGTTCTGGATCAGCCACTCACAGTTGAGGTTGTTGCTGTAGTTGGACACCAGGTATCCAGGGGATGTGAAGTTCCCGCCCGCTGCATTGTTCAGGACTCCACCGCACTCTTAACAAGACAACATAAAAACTGAATTCAATTTTCTGAAACTGTAGTTTTTTAATTTGTCAGGTCAGTGTATAATTGGTATTTTGGATTTGTTTTCTTCAATCTTCTATTGAGCCAACAGAAAATTAAAACATCTGAAAATTTCTATTTCAATTAAAGACTTGGGTTGCTTGAGAGGGAGGGATCGAAGCATCCAGCACTTCCTGAACCTTATCTGACTGACCAGCAGGGCAGTCCAAGGGCAAGGACTAATAAAAACTACAAGCATTAAAATGAAAACTACACTTACAGGATATTTTTACAAATAGCAAAAACTGTTACTTATTAAGAAAATATTTGAGGAATGAATGTTAATTTACTCTCAGAAAATGTAATGTACATCATTTTTTCTGTTAACTTGCAATGGTACTGTAACTGTCACTTGATTAAACTGGTGATTTAGATGTAGAAGTGCTAAAAAGAAAGTGTTTCAGAATCTAATGGTCTTGAACTGGGCTGTTACTGCATCACTGTTGACTTGATCCACACACTTACTCAACAGGAATGGTATATTATATGATCTCAGACACACAAGAGAATTTATTCCTAACGGTTTCCTAATGTTTTGCCAGTGACAGCTGTAAATATGTAATACTGTACATAGTACTTGAGTTTAAGTTTTGTCCAAGTGAACCTCTAACCTGCAGGCTCCTCAGAGGAGTATGAAGCCATGAAGCCACCATTAGACACAGAAGCATCAGTGCGAAACACAACAGCCATGGTGTTGCCAGAGGAGCGCAGCTGAGTGCCTGCAGGTACTGTACCACAGAGTCGCTGTAGACGAGGGGCATCAACTGCCAACCCATTCAGCACCTAGTGGAGACAGAGTGAATCCCAGTTTACACTGGGTGACATGCAGGGTACAGATCATACAGAGTCATCAAATAATTTAATCTGCATGTGTCTAGACTGTGGGGGGAAGCCAAAGTACCTGGAAAAAATCCACACTGGCACAAGGAGAACATGCAAACTCTGCAGAAAGGCCATTTTTGGCTGCATGGTTCTAACCCAGAACCTTCTTGCTATGAGGAAGTATTGTTAACCACAGCACCACCATGCCAGCATTTATTAATTACTGGCTTTGCCTTAATATTTTCCTTGTGCCAGCTCACTTATGTCACAAAAAAACATTTTCCCACTTACACTGAGTGGTGTCTAACTGTGCTGATAGTCTGACTTTGTCCAGCGTATGAGATACTGCTGATACCTTAGATACATTTGAGGTCAATGGAATAAATTTGTGGTGTAAAATGCATGAAAAAATTTGTGGCTTAAAACAAAAAGCATAAATTTGCTGTTTTGGAAAAAAAAGTGCTGAAATACAAAGTAAGGATGGCAGAAAGGAACTCACATCAACATAGTCAAATGCACAGGAAGTTCCAGAACCTTCCAGCCGTAGGTCATTGATGGTGAGTGTAACCCGGCGTCCTGATGACACCACCAGCTCCCAGCGACACACCCGGTTGTGTGGGTACAAGTTGGGATAATTGGGAGAGGAGATTGTTCCTGAAGGAGCATTCAACTCTCCCCCACAGGCTGCAGGAGGAGGAGAGGAAAAGTAAAACAAAGAGAAACATTCAACATGAGAAATACCACTTTCTAATGTCATTTATTTACCTCTGTCAGTCTAAAGCAGAGCAAACATTTATATAAATGACAGCAAATATGAGGTTATTATAAATAACATTTTTGACTTATGTAGATAAAATATGACAAATATACTCTGTTATTTACAAATACATTTAACAGTGTTTGTTCAGTTCACTCCATTTGTCTCAACACAGATGGTACATTTTTCAAAATGTTATTTTGTGTTTGACACCTTGGACAAACATTATTTTCAACATGTTCAAAATCATCTTACCTTCAACACTAGCTTCAAATGACAGACTGAAGCCTGCTGCATTTCCACTGGAGTCACTGACAAACTTGACATAGGCAAAACTGTCAGATGTGTCCATGGAAGCAGGAAGGCTACTGCCACAGTGTCGGCCCAGTGTGTGTCCTATACAACACAAAAGACAATGTATGTATCAGTGGGTCTATGATTTGCATATTAGTTGTCTTGTCATGCCAGTGTCGAGTAATTTGGCTTTTGTTTCTGCTGTTCTTTATTTCTTCCATTTATCATTATCTTTATTTCATGTTCATAAGGAAGCATAAACATCTGCCTCGGAAAAAATGTACAATATGACAAGTGCCACTTAAAAACACTGCAGCTGAAAACTCTACAGACATGAAACTGATATTCTGCATGTGTAACTCTGGGCAAAGATGTGTTCACACACACATGCCAATGACTCATTCCATTTGGAGAGTTTTTTTTATTTATTGTGTCAAATAATATAGAGTGCAGCATTGCAACCGGCTGAACCAATCATCTCATTTTCTCACCTGAAGCATTGTACTCCCTGATCTCCACATAGTCAGCAGAGCATCCTGGAGTGTCCTGCAGGCTGAAATTTCCATAGGTAAGGGTGAGGTAGTGCCCTGTAGGCCCCTCCAAGTACCACTCACAGCTGGAGCTGCCAGGATAGTTGGATCCTGGGAAGCCAGGGCTGTGGATCGAACCCCTCTGACCTATATAGGTGCCTCCACATGTTGCTGCAAGGGAATGGAGATGCAAAATAAAAGTAGAGCCATTAGTGTTTGACACTTGTTTCTTTTCAAACCCTGATATGAATAATAAAACTTTTTTCTCCAACATCTATTTTCACCAATTACCACCACATCCCATTTGTTAAAGAGAACGAAACAAGTACAGCTGAAAAGCTGCAGTTAAAGATGTGTAGGATTTGAAAAGTTTTCTCCTACTTTGACACCCTGCAGTAATAGCATCAGAAAAAGCAATGGTGCCAGCCTACATTTGTGTTGCAATAAAAATATCAAGTGACATATTTTCAATACCCCAAAGCCTGAAAATGATTTTGAGTACCTCAAAGTATCTGCGTTTGCATTAGAATAAGTTTCTAGCCCATTAGGCCTGAGCCAGCCACAGTATTGCATGTATGTAGAAGTAGATCCATATTTAAAAACCAAGATCATATTTGATGGGATTTACCTACCGATGGAGTACTTTGCCTTGAAGCCTTGGTGCGTGACGCTGGTGTCAGTACGAAACCTGAGCAGCATGGAGGAACCTGTTGAATGTTGGGTAGATGGTCGGGTGTTGCCACAGAGCCGGGAAATTAAGTGGGAATTGGATGTTGAGCCATCACGCAGCTCCAAATAGTCATACCCACAGCTGAGAAAAACACGAATAAACACCTGAAAACATGTTTTGTAAAAGCATTGCTAGAAGATGACTGAATGTAAAGAATATAAGTACAAATATCCTTTGTTTTTAAACTTTCAAAGTTAAGAAAATGAAAGCACCGCAAAAGAAAAAGTCAGAATATGCTCAGTTCCCAAATACTGAACATTAATAACACCAAATCTAAGCATTAATTATCAGGTGTAAATATAAAAATAACCAAACTAGTTCCTGAGCAGAAAGTAGCAGTTGTACTTTGTTGTGGGTTCAATGTAGAATTGATCCTCAAAGTCAATTTGGACAGCTTCTCCCAAGGGCACAGTGATGACCCAGATACAGTCAATGTTTTGGGGGTAGTTCCCAGGGTAGTTCGGTGAAGTGATGTAGCCTGGAGGATCGTTATCATTCAGCTCAATGAAACCTCCACATGCTGCAGAAAAAGAGAACAAATATGTTTATACTGGACCACAATTCTAACCAGCATTAAATACAGAAGTTCATCAAAGCTAATTAAATTAGCAAAGGTAATTACTTCAATCAAAAGGCTGTTACTGTGGTATTACTGGTTTACAAATTGTTTTTGGTACACTGTGAATTTACAGTGCTGAAAGTATTTTACTGGGCCTTACAGCCCTTCTCTAAGTCCATCACTCCATCAGAATCTGGACTTTCTCATTCAGCCCCATTAACTAACTATTCCAATAATAATATTATTGTAACACCTTGGTCACTGATAAAGCATTATCTAACACTGAAAAATGAACAACAACCATGTTTATGTTAAGATGAATTCTACTGTGACAGAAGAAAAATGGAAACAATAGTGGTGGTTGTACCCTGACTGTGGGCTTCAAAGGTTAGCTTAAAGCCGCTGGCCTCATTAGAGCCGTCAGACACAAAATGAATAAAGAGGTGGTTGTCAGTAGTCTGGAGAAGAGATGGAGGGCTTGACCCACAGAGACGCCCCCCCAGTGGTGGAGATGAAACATCTGGACCGTTTCTGAGCTGTTGAGACAACACTGCATGAATGGTATCATAAACAATGTAAGGGCTGATCATTAACACTTTATCTAAAGCCTCAGTCGGTAAACTAAAAGAAAATAAAGTTGCTGAACCTGAGTACACATTAGAAATTATTAAATTTTAGAACTGAACTTTTTTTTTAGGTTTAAAAATGCTATGATCAAATTTTCATGAATTCACTGTTTCAAACATTCACTACATGAGCAGAGATTACACTTTGAAGAAGGACCAATGTGCTTATGAGACCAATCCACTCAGTTTAAAACAGACAGTCTCACCAAAGAGGCTGCATTCACTAACCAATCCACTCAGTTTAAAACAGACAAGTCAAGTCAGAGGTTTCAGTCTCACCAAAGAGGCTGCATTCACTTTACTAGCTGATGGGGAATTCCCAAGCATTTCAGTCTCTTTCACATGTTGTTGAGGAACATGGGGTCAAATGTTAAAAAAAATAGTTAACACTTGGATGAAGGCACCACTGAATATATGTAACTAGTTTTAACACTGTGTTGAAAGGGTCCCACACAGTTCTTTCTATATTGATGCAAGCCTAATCAAATTAAAGCACTTTAATGCAGAATAAATTATTTTATTTTATATTGATTGTGCTGAAGCACCAAAAAAAGAATGTGCAACTTGTGGGAAATCTTAAATTTGAGTTGCCAACTTGCAAACTAAACCACTGCTTGTACAATATAGACATGACTTTGAACTTTTGTTTATGATAGGCAGATATTGCTATATTAATCTCCATATGTTGTTTACCTCCAGGTAGTCTCCTGAGCTGCACTGAGTTCCATAGCCTTGAATCTGGAAGGGGCTTTGAAAGGTGACAGAAACCCTGAAGCCAGGTGTCACCATCACATGCCAGTTACAGTCCAGATTAGGCAAATAAGTCTGGGGGTAGTTGGAACTGCTCACCACACCCCTGTCTACATGCAGAAGTCCACCACAACCTGAAAAGATACAAAAGCAATATAATGATTATTATGATTATTATTACTAACAGCAAATGTGGAAAAAAGAAGAAATGAGATTTAAAATTATTGTCCAAATATTTACAGTGGGTACGGAAAGTATTAAGTTTATCCTATTAAATCTCTAATTACTCTACAGTAAATTTCACTGTATTTACTGCACAATGGCATGCACACTATTTTCTGCTAACAATCCCACAACACAATGTGTTCTATAGATGCAAAAATGACAAATGTCTGATTCCATAACTCTCACTGATACCAAATACTGGGTTTTCTGAATTCATTGTTGCAGACTACTAGCTAGCTAGAATGTAAGGATAAAGTGTATTAATTTGCTTCTGGTGTTTGACCTCTGGAGTAGGAGGCATTAAAGCCTCGGCCACTGATGCTGCTGTCTGAAGAGAAGTGGATGTACATGGAGTCTCCTGTTGAATGGAGAGAACCTGGAAGTTCCCGACCACACACAGTGGCTAGCACAGGGGATATACTGGTATCACCTGGGAACACATACACACATGCACACAACGATGGGAATTATAAGATTCCAGAAGAACATACAGATCTACTACAGCAGCAGAGTGCTGTCGCTAAAATATACCTGTGACTCCACTCAGGTTTGGTTCATGGTCTTTATAGGTTTGGGCTTAATTATGTGTTTACAGAAAAGGATTTCACTCCTTACCATCTCTGATGGTAAGACTATCAAAGTAGCAAGTGGGGTAGTCCTCCATGTCCAGAAACAAGATGTTGAATTCTATGATGGAGTCTGGAGAATGTATCAGCCAGGTACACTCCTGGTTATGAGCGTAGTTTTCAGGCCACCTAGGAGAATAGAGGAAGCCAGGAGTCTCCCCCGTCATTAAGATTCCACCACATGCACCTGACACACAAACACAGACCGGGAGAAAAGAAAACACCGGGTCATTTAGATGGTATAAATGCTGTACAAGCTTAATAACTGTACCTCAAATTCAAAGTGAATATGATACACATCTTTAACTTTTCAGTTCAAAAATGTCTGAAAAGTAAAACAGTCTACAGTAGATTTCATATTTTTTATCCTGCATTTTTAATGCCTATTTCTTCTAAAAATGATGAGGCCACAGCTGTCACCATCTTTGTTGTGTATGGTTACCATGGTAATAGATGCTGGTTTATCTATTGTGTAATTATTGGAAAAGATTCTTAATTTATTCTCAGATTGGTCAAACCACTACTAATCTACCAAAGTATTAGGCTTATAAATAATGTAGAAGTTAACCCTGTTCTAACTTTCTCATACACATCTACTGTACTTCCATGCCGCCATTGGCTTCTCTTTTTCATTGTGCAGTAGCATACAGTATGCAAGTCTGACATGTTGCGTGGGCTATATACAGTTAAATGGCTCAAAGGGACTAACTGTTTTGTCTCACCTGGTGGGATAGTGGGTGGTGGTCCAGAGTCCTGGACAGTGATCCATTCCACAAGGAAGCCTCGTCCTCCCACCACCAAATCAGATTTGAACTGCAGGGTGATAGTGCTGCCAGAACTTCTTATGGGAGGGGGCAGGGACAGACCACAGTATGTCCCAATGGGATAGTAATGAACACTGGGGCCATCAAAAATCTAAAGACAATGAGGGCAGAAAACATGGTAATGTCAATTTGTTGTTTGTTATCAGTAAATGGACAAACGTCTAAGCTTAGACTTGAGTTCAAAATTATAAATGGGTGCAGATGATTCATGTTAGCATTTCTAGTGCACCTTTCTAGTGCATTTGCACCTTGATGTGCTCTCAATATTCTGATGCATGTGGGTCTGTTTTAAAACAGCCACTGAAGAAATATGACTGGGCTTATTACTGTTGCAATGAATATCCAATGTAAAACAGCACAATGCAATTCAGTACACTTACAACAGAAACAGTGGTACAACCACTGTGACTGATTAAGTTAAGGATACAATGTGATTTCAAAGCACCCCATCTTACTTTGAGATTATCGTAGTAGCAGTCAGACAGGTCCTCAATGTCCATGTCCAAGAAGCGGATCTGGATGTAGCTGTCTCCGTCCACAGTTATAGTCCAGCGGTATTGGGCATTAATGGGGTATGTTCTTGGATACAGTGGGGATGCTATCTGACCAAACTCCCCTGTCACATCATTACCATACACTGAGAAACAGTGAGAAAGTCAATTAGACCTTTCATTCTCTTTCTATTTGAGTTTTATTTATATTTGGGCAGAGTTAATGTAACTCACCAAATTATTAAACAGAGGTGTAACAAAACAAGTTAATAACACTGAGACACATTCGGTAAGATTTTAAGGAAATCTGTACTGGATACTTTACAGTTGTGATATAACAAGTCAGAAAAAGATGGTATGTAAAATCAAAATTAAAACTGAAAACAGTGATTTGCAAATCATCTGTGTCCTGTTTACATTGATTATTTGATGTGATACCTCATCAAATTTATTCTTTGTTCAAAATAAACACTCACTTTAATTCTGATGAATGCAACACATTCCAAAAAAAGATGGGACGGTCGCATTTCAGGGCCAGTAATGAGGTGAAACAATGAAATGATGATTCCATTTAAAACTGTGGTTTTCACACAGACACTCACAGTGTGAGAAGGTGACTCTGAATCCTTCTCCACTAACTGATGCATCTGACACAAACTTAACCCACAGGATGTGACCAAGCACCGAGGTGTAGTTGGATGGTAGTGAGGTACCACAGAAGCGATTGACCAGAGGCCCGGTGGAGTTGCCCTCTCTGATTTCCAAGTAGTCGTTTTGACAGCCAGAACCTCCCTGCAGGTGAAACATACTGAACAAACCATACAGAAGACTGTTACCAATGCTCAGTAATGAATTAACTTCTACTGTAAATACAAAACATCTACCATAGATCACAGTCACCTTGCTGGCAGGCTTCACCATCCAGCTCAGTTTGTTTTTACTGTCTCTGTTCAGGTTTACAAAGCCATACCATTGAAAACATTAAGGCTAACCTCCAAAATTAATACCTCAACCAACTCTGTGGCGCACACAGAACCATTTTCATGGAATATTTCTGAACCTTATGTTGTATCCCTATATTTCATCATAAATATGTGTGCCCAAGATCAAGAATGAACCTCCACACTCGAATTGACTAACATAAATGAGAGCTGGAGACGATTTCCTGGAGAGCTCCTGATGGTCCACACACACTCCACATTAGATGGATAAGCATCTGGATAGTTAGGACTGTTGAATGCACCACTCTCCATGAGCAGATCCCCTCCACAACCTGAACAGAAGGCATCAGTCCTGTCAGTATCAAAATGTATGCAGGAGAACAGAATGAATTTGACCGGTGTCCTGCTGTAACTGTGATCAGTGTGTCCTGGCATGTCTTACTGGAGGTGGATGCTGAATAGGTGGCTCTAAACCCTTTCATGGCGATGGAGTGGTCAGAGATGAATTTGACCACCAAAGAGTTACTGAAGGATGTCACTGGGTGAGGTAGTTCAACGCCACAGTAGCGCCCTGACAAAAAGGTACATGACATTTTAATTTGAATTTAACACTATGTATGATTAAATTAGCTGAACAACCTGTTGACTTGTTACATTCAACTAAAATCAGCGGAGTACCGTATCATATCACACATGGTCTCATTGTTAATTTATAGCTTACCTGATGGTTGTTAACATAATATACCCTGGTGGAAACATATGGACAAACCCAGTGTGCAGGGGTGGATCTAAAATTGTGGACAGGGTGGCCAGAATGGGGACATTTGAAATACATGTAGGAAGTAAAAGAAACCCCTAGTTTTATGAAATAAGAACCTGTATATTATTGAAAATCAAATTGGTTATTTTGTGTAAAAATGAGAAAACCACAGTGCATTCTTTAATTAACTTTGGATGTGCTCCTTATTTGCCCCCTGCCTGGGGAGTCCCCTCCAAGGTGAAATATGCCAGGTACTCCATAACAACACATCTGTATTCTGGTGCATACATGATAAGAAACAATACTTCTTTGACCAATATCAATTATATAGCATCAGAATAATGTTAGCTGTATCCGAGGCAACAATTTGTCATTGTTTTTAAGTTTGCATTCATTAATACTGACAAGCATCACATTATGACTCTGGCAGGAGTGACAAATCAGATTCTGGGGTTTGGGCGGTGACACCCCTGGTTCAAACCAAATCATCACTCTAAAATTTTATGATTTACATTTTGGGGACTTGCTTTTTGTGTCCATAAGGACCTCAAGTCCTCAAAATGTGACTGTGTAGTTAGTTTTATGTCCCCACAAAATGAGTAATACCAGCCTTCAAAGACACACACACACACATACATACACATAAAGTAAAACCACCTATAGAAGGTGCCTGGTAGTTGTTGCCATCCAGGACCTCCACAGCATCGTGGGAGCAGTTGGAGTAGATCATCTCTAACTCAAAGTCAGTGAATGACAGGGTCACATGGTTGACTGGCCACAGATAGACAAGACAAAGGTTAAACATCCACATCATTTTGTGTATTACACAATGTAGGCCTATACAACATTAAGGTTTCCTGGTCCGAGGGCCTTGACTAAGGCAACTCACATGGTTCTTGTGCTGTGATGATCCAACTACAGTTCTGATTTGGTGGATATGGTGCTGGGTACCGCGGTGAAGCAATGACCCCACCATTATTGTCTGTTATGATGGTTGAACCACAAGCTGTTGAAAACAAACAAACAAAACAATTATATGGTCAGCATCTTCCATACAGGCTGTAGATCCACCTACAATGTCTCTTAATGAGACCGAAATGCATCTTTGCTGTTGAAATATCCAGTTTAAGGCTCATCTTGCATCAAACAATGGAATATTGTAAAGCTGTGTCAAGGCGTCCTCAGTCTCTAAAATGATGCTATGGTGATGAATATATTGTCATGTAAACTGACTGATTGGTACAGCTGATGTCTCATTAGAATAGTGAGCAAATGCAGTAGAAAATATTAAGAGCGTAGTTTGAGTCTGTAGTGATACTGCAGTGCTTGAATTTCAAATTAAAGTTTATCACAGAACAAAACAAAACATCTCACTCTGTACATTTTCACATTTACACTCAGATTAAGTCTCTTTAAGAGGATTTTCTCAAGTTCTTTCTAGAAACTACTTTTATTATGTCATGTATTCAGTTTACATGGAGACATGTATGTAGAATAGAAATTGACATATTACGCTTGTTCAAGAGAATGAAACAGAGAAGTTAAAGAAGGCCCACCCTCAGAGAAGCGAGCACTGAAGCCACGGTGGCTACGACTGGAGTCCGACCTAAAGCGAACAGAGATGGTGTTCTGGGTGGCGGTGATGGAGGGAGGAAGACTGGTACCACACACATGAGCAAGCAGAGGAGAATGTATAGTTGGACCATCATAGATCTACAGAGGGACACACATGTGGTTTTGGTAAAGCTATGCAAGTTTAAATTTTAGGTTTCAGCACTTCAGAATAAATGGCCAGAGGTAAATAGACTGCATTTACACATTTATCTGGTTTTAATTCTTATTATTCTAAACACTGTTAATATTTCACTTTGCCTGTGTAAAAACACTTTGAATTGCCTCTGCATATGAAATGGGCTATATTAATATAGCAGCCTTGCCGTGCCTGCTGCATGCTGGTGAGTCCCCAGTATTTTATTTAAGCTGTAACTAGTGGAAAAATACAAATAGGGGCTGGGAGCTCTAACAGGTCAGTGACAAAACAAAAATATTCTGGCACTATGCTCTGGAACTAAACATCCGTCACTCACAGCCACATAGTCCCAGATGCAGTTGCTGTGATATTCAATGTCCAAGTCAGTGAAGTTGAAGAAGACACGGTGGTGGGAGTCTACACTGATGACCCAGGAACAGTCCACATTATTGGGATAGTTGTTGGGATACAAAGGAGAATGGATCTCCCCTGATGGGGCAGTCACTGGCCCGCCACAGCCTGCATGACAAAGAACAGTTGAACCAAGGTTACTACAAGTGCTGGCGTTGCTGAGAAACTGCATGTATGTATGGAATCTATTGTATAGTTGCACAGAGGTATGGCATATGGGCATGTAGTCCATGATAGGGACCCACCTCCCTGGACTTCAGCCCAGCTTGCATTGAAACCTCGACCGCTGACATAGGCATCAGACTTGAAGCGCACTGTGAGCATGTTGCCAGTGCTGGAAACCTGCATTGGTCTGGATGTGGTGGTGCAGAGCTTGGCCAGCTGAGGGGCCGTCATGTCTGGGCCTCCATACACCTGAGGGGAGGTCAGAGGTAATGGTGAAAAGGCCAACTGTACTGCTGTTTGAAAAAATAAACTGTTTTATACCGAAAGGTCACAGTTACACTCCATTTATTAAAACAGTAATTCATTTATCCAGAGATATGTCTTCATCATGTCAACACAATTTTTACAGACATTTCACAGAAATCATATGCATTAAGCGGTTGGGTCATATTGTAGATAGCCCCCTATAGACCGACAGTCCCAGAAAGCTGCAGAGAAAGTTCAGCTGAGGGCTGCTCTTTAATGGAGGAGGGGTTGTGAATCAGAGATACAGTATATGCCATATGCCAAGCCCCCTAGATAGATTCATCCAGTCTTTTCACTTGTTAAGCCACAAAAAAGCATCACTAAAATGTATATGGATGCAATAAACTGTAAAAATATGAACCTGAAATAGTTTTTCACTTAATTTCTGACTGATCTTAAGCTTAATTAAATTTTTGATTATTTATTTTATTGTGAGACATCACCTTAAACACAAGATCATCAGTTACTATAGATAAAGTTTAAGTTTCAGGTTTTTGAAACATAAAATTAGCTCAAATGATCTTTCACTTGTGAAATTCAAAGGTTAATATAAAGGTTGTTAAAGTTTTGTGTTCCTAGTACTGTATTATGGTAAAATACTAAGAAACTTTCTTTTGCTCAGCTGAAAGCTACAGTCACTTCTATCTCAGTCAAAAACTAACCAATGGAGGATTGTCACAGTATGTGCTAATTTCCAAATATGTCTCAGGTGAATCATGTCTGTATTCATTCTTATATCTGAATAAAACATAACATGAAAACCCTTAAGAGAATATGTGTCCCCCTCAGAAAACGTTGCTTGGAGTTATGCTGAAGAAGACTTTCACTGTACTGTGTGTGACTCTCTGCCTTAAAGATGAAGAACTACAAAAATCACCTGCAACGGTTTTATGCATTGTACACTAGCACTGGAGCTGGTGTGTGTCGAGCACAGAGACAGGTTTACATCTTACTTCCAGCACATCATAGTTGCAATTTTGATGGAACTCCACATCAAACTCATGGATAGTGAGGGTGACGCTGCTGCCAGCTGCTGTGCTGATGTACCAGATACACTCCCTGTTTTCTGGATACCTGTTGGGGTAGCCTGGGCTGCTGAAGGAGCCACTAGGTCCAGAGTGGTCTCCACCACAACCTGCAGGGACACACAGCAAGGCAGAGAGGCCTGAAGAGTCTGTTTCAAACTGTGTGGAAAAAGTGTTAAAAAATGTCACTTAACGTGACAATAGATCCAGAATGATCCAGAATTACTGCTGAACATTTCAAAGCAACAAGAAAGTCAGACAGTGACAGTGGGATCCACAAGCAGACAGTCAAACAAGAATCAACATCTCATTTCATTTTAATACATATTTCATCAAGGGGATGTTCTTGAAATTGAAGTACATAAAACTACTGGATGTATGTAGTTGTCCTGTCTATCTTGCCTGGCCCACAACAACAAAAGTCTCTTACCATTCTGGTACCACATCATCTGGAAGCCAGACATGAACACAGTGGAGTCTGTTTTGAAGACCATGGTGAGTGCTGAGCTTGTGGTGTTGCTGGCTGGGGGAGGTGTGCTCCCACAGAATGTACCAATCAGAGGAGCTTGCTCACTGGGACCATTATAGAGCTAGGACAGTAATTTAGAGAAAGCTGAGGGAGTTGATTGTATGATGCAGACACAAAAAGAAACCAGTTCATAGTAGTTGAGAAAAATAACAGGAACCTGTAACAACATACACTATAGACAAAGATTTTAAACTTGCATTTTGAACATTTTTAAGTTCATTAAGGAAAGATTGATTGAAGTGGTTCTGTCTGTATGCCGACCCACCTGTACACACTAAAAACTAACAGTGACAGCAAACAAGAAGCATCATAAAATCTCCCTGCACAATGGAAAGTCTTGTATAGTATTGTATGTTAAAATGATGGCTTTACTAAATGTTTACTTGAAAACCAATCAAATTAAGTTGTTTAGAAACACTGCTATTGAAAACCAGTTGAATAGTGCTGCAGTGATGGGTTTGTGCATCTGTGTACCTTGACATAGTCATAGGTGCAGCTGCTGGAGGTAGCTTCCAGCTGGAAGGCAGTAAAAGTGTAGTTGATGGTGTTTCCACTGCTGCCCTGGATGGTCCAGCTGCACAGGGTGTTGGCTGGGTAGTTGTTGGGAAAGTTTAGTGACTCCACTATTCCTCTGTGTCGGCCTGAGATGAGCATGCCGTCACATTCTGAAAACAAACATAACCAAACGCTAATACGCAATACAGTACAAATCAAATTCAGCTAATATTGGCATAGGTCACATAATGTCAACACAAGAACAGGGCCTAATGGCTGAATTAGGCTTTTTTTTCTAATATCCAAAGTTTGTTACAGTATATGTAATATGGAAATAGAATAAATTCCTGGATTTACAATATTTGTTCCTGATGGGGTCCACCAAGATGTCTGTCATAAGAAATATTGCAAATTAAGAAGAACAACTTTCATGCATGCAGTCAATTCAACAACTACTTTTACTTCTACCTGGGTACATGACATTTTTAAATAACAGTAAAGTCTGAATCAGTTTAGTTCAACAAAATAGAGGTTTATGTTCCAAAGCTACCGATACATAATACAACACTGTATGTTCAGTTTGTGTGTGTGTGAGTGTTTTCGTACTAGTGGTGTATGATGCAAGGAAGCCTCCAGCGTTGATGACGCTGTCAGTGCGAAGTTTGACGTAGAGCTGATGGGTGGAAGAGTTGATGGTGCTGGGCAGCTGACTGCCACATAACTTGGCTAGCTCTGGAGCATGGCTGCTGTTACCATCATACACCTGATCACACACACAGGAAACCAATAATCAGTAGTGACTGGTTTAGTCCATTGCATTATCAAAGAGTAAAGACACACAACTACAAAAACAGCAATTGTTTGTTTAGATTTCATACATTAAAATTTATGAAGGTGAACACTGAGTGCATGTTCATTATATCACAGAACCATGCAGATTCACCGAAGGCCAGATACAGCCAGCTACTTTGTGTTTGTATTGTGAACTCACTGTTATGCTTGTGCTAGGAATTTCATTTATACACCTCCACCTCTTTAGAGATGTGTGTTTATACTATTGTATATGAAGTTTTTTTCCCCACTTTTCCATAAGTACCTGGTATATACCAATATGTTGCTTTGTTTTTGAACCTTCTTATTGATTCTTTAAATTCAAATATTCAGCCTGTAAACTAATCCTCCTAAAACTATTGCATAATGCACCTACACATGCATTTAGGCAAAGTACTCACAGCTAGGTAATCATAAGAGCAGCCGGAGCTTGACTCCAGGTGGAAATCGGAGAAAGAGAGAAGGAGCTGGTTGCCGTGGCTGGTCCTGATGTTCCAGTAGCACTCAGCATTAGGGTGGTAGGGCAGGGGGTAGTTAGGGGAGGAAAATGCCCCAGATTCAGTTGTCAGGGTCCCTCCACAACCTTCAATGAATGAACAAAAATGGTCAGGCACATAGACATACATGACTTTCTATTGTTGTGTGGATACATTTTTGAGCAATATCTGTGAGAACATTATGGTGGGTCTTTACAGCTTCAAAAGCGCTTGTCTGATGGTTAGAACTTGGCTTCAGGGTTCAAGTTAGAATTAGGTTTTGGTTAGGGTGAAGGTATGGGGTGGGCTCAGACATGTTGTTCTGATGGTTAAGTTGAAGGTAAGGGGACTGGGAATGCATTATGTCAATAAGTGTCCTCACAACTATAGAAAGACAATTGTGTTTGTATATCTCAGTTCTCACAAAAATTTCAAACCGCAAAATTTCACATCAACACTCAATGAACTTGCCAAATTCTTACATTTAAATGACGCTGCACCACTTGTGCACCTCTTGACACATGTTTAAGCTGTTCAGTTAATACAGCTGACTACCTTGTTCTGACCTAGCTTTCAAACCAACATTAACAGTTCACTTTACCTGGTGAATGTTTGTTTCTCCGACTCATTCTGGAATCCAAGGTGTGACATAAGATCCGTCCATACTGCATTTAAGGCAGACTCTTGAAAGGCAGGGTGTGCTGCTCTTCTTACGTATGTGTCACCATTGTCCAATGACAGGATGGTGATGTTATCGCAAAATGCAGTCTGAATTAAGTATAAGCTAATAACTTGTCTAATAAACAGAAAAACAATGGCATAAAGTTTTGTTTTGTTTTGCAAATCAACCTTTTTCAAATAATGTATTTTGTGCTAGAGTGTGGTCAAAAACATTGTCAAAAATGTGCAAATTTGAATTAAACTAGAATGATTAAAGGAGTGGACTTTATTGGTCCAGTGATTTGCACAGGACATATTCTTTCCAGTTCTAGATGGTAGTGGTGCTGACTCACTGCTGTGTTCTTTACTTCCTCAACTTAACAAAAAACTAACATTAAAAGTAGTACAACCTACCAGTCTGTGTGCCATCCCAGTGAGCAACGAATCCATGTTGCGTGATGACGGTATCAGAGCGGAATTTAACCCAAAGGCGGTTGCTATGGGATACCAACACTGGAGGCCTTTGACTGCCACAGAACTTACCGATCAAGGGAGATGTCTCATAGCCACCATCCCTGCAAAAGACAGTGGAACAGTAGTCATTAAATCTCTCCGCTGTGCAGGTTTCTTAAAAATCGCACAGCTCAAGGCGTTTGATAACCAAGTGGTCGAGACATGTACAGTGCAACTAATATTTCCCTGGGCACCTTAGTTGCATGTCCACTGTTCATTCGAATTATCTTTCAATCACTGGGAAACAGTGTGTGGATGAACTTTATTCATCTGCAAATCAGAAGTAACTGTCTGATTGACTGTATGTGCACAGGCACAAAGCATTTGCTGCATGTGCACTATGTTACAGTATGTGATTTGCTAATATAACAGCACTGATATAGGAAGCCCACACACTTGCTTGCAGTGTAAGACCATTTTACCCAAGTTTCTGTCTGACTCAAGCAACAGTGTGCAGAACTGATGCATTAAAATTTTACCATTAAAAATATACTGACAGACGCAAAAGGTGAAGCTGTGTAGCTATCTCTGCTTACCTGATCTCCACAAAGTCAAAGCTGCAAGGAGGAGGGTAGCCCTCCAGCTCAAAGGTTGTAAAGTTCAGCATAATCTGCATGTTGACCTCCACAATGATCTTGAAGATGCATTCTCTATTGTTGGGGTAGAGGTCAGGGTAGTTGGGTGAGCTGAAGGTTCCTGTGGGGGAGGTGAAGGTCTGACCACAGTCTGATGAGAGAAAAGTTGAAACAAGCTTGTTATATGAGAACTGCTTTCATTTTGTCTCGATAACATGTATATTAGAGGCCACATCTCTAAAACACTAACAAATATTCTTTGTACTTTCTGAAAACGTTTTCCATTTAATTTTGTGTGTGTGTCCTTGGAAAATCTCTTTTACGTCATATAAACACATCGACCAGAGCAGACAAAAGTTTTCTCAGTGGTTCATCAGATGAGTTCTCTTTGAGTTGGTGACCTTGGAGTTTGAATATAAGCTAAAATACAACAAGTAACTAAAACACAATACAATCTATTCATGTCATCATCACAGCATGCAAAATAAGTTTATGAAGTCTTTCAGATCTTATGATATTTTGGCACAGTAACTTCTGTAGTTCAGTAGTTAGAAACATTCGCCTTGTCAGGTTCTTCTTTTCATGCTTGGGCTACATTTTTGTCAGCGAAACTTTTCCACAGAGCACAACAGGTGTCTTTAGAAGTACTGACTATGTAAATGATCAGATCTCTCACTGTGAGGGAGGCCACAGTGCCTGAGTAATTGCCTGAATGGTCAGTGATCTGCAATATGTCTGCAGGGCACTTGGATTTTTGGCAGGTCAGAAATTTTGGTCTGGTGTCTAGAAGACACCAAATTGAGTGTTAAATACAGTGTGAAAAAAGTGGTGCTGTAGCTTCTGGTGATTTAAAACATACTGTATGGATTACTACAATGTACATACTGTAAGTAACAAAGACTCACATTGTCTGCCCAGCATAGCCCTTAAATGCATGGACTCCGTTTTCCTTTCACCAGCACTACTTTGCCTCTTGTTCTAAAGGTTCTAAACTGTGACACAAAACTTATTTATTGGTGCCATCAATATCTACCTAATTATCCTTAGACACAATTCAAATCGTTGTACACGAGACTTGGGAGTTATGTTATGTCAGAGGTTCCATCATTATCTAAACTGAACTCAATCAGTTTTCAGGGGATCACTTCCATAGTAAAAATCTTTTAGTGCAACCTGAGCTTGTGAGATATAGTCTTGCTGTTTACAGCTAAATTATCAGTAGATACTGTCTGGCCAATCCATTGTATACCTGTGGTGGCATTGATGGAGACATAGCTGGCAGAAAATCCCTCTGTGGCTAAATCTGAGTTCGACACAAACAGCAGGGTCAGCAGGTTGTCAGTACTGGTGATGGATGGAGGCACTGAGCGCCCACAGTACCTGCACATGCAAAACACACCTAATCAACAAATAGATACTCAGGAAATTGTGTGAGAGGTTGAGAATGTGGAATAAAAAGACTAACTGTATGAATTTTTGAAACAAATAAATAAATAAAAGGAATTTGCAGTTCAGTTTATGTTAATAAGGAGTTTGTACAGGAGTGTTGGTACAATGTAGACCAGAGTTTACATGCTGCACCTTGCATGTGTTTCAGTTTAGACCACAGGAACACTTTGGATTACCTTAAGGAAAGCTTATGGTTTTATATACAGTATGTATGCTTACCAAACACTTTGACCAACTCTCTTTGAACATATGATATGATACAGTAGAATACTATAACACTTTATCAGATAAAATCTGAAATTTGTCTTGCAACACAAAGCAGCTCCAGTGCAAGACCAAACAGTAACAAACAATAACAGCAAACAATAAATCACTTGTACAACCTCCATTTTTACATAGTGATCATAACATAACTGCAATTTTTTTTCTTATATGTATCACATACCTGCCAATCTTGTTTCCAGGCTGCACAGTGCCATTGTCATAAACCTCCAGGTAGTCAAAGTCACAGTTAGTATGGTACTCCAAGTTGAAGGACTGAAATGACAGCCGAATGAGGTTGCCCGGGGCAACACTAATGTACCAGGTACAGTTGGCACCATGGGGGTAGGTGTTGGGATGACCGGGGCTTCTGATGATGCCTGAAGGAGTGGTCAGGGTACCACCACAGCCTGGTACAGGAAAAGAGGGACAACAGATCGACTTTACAGACTGGTCTACTTTTGAAATGCAGCAAATACAGTTTAAAAGCACTATACACACACACACGCACACTGTATGTACTATATGTCTGAAATGAAACCAACATGTATTTTGGTGTATGTGTCCATTTAAAATCCTGGTATGCCATGGAAGACATAGAGCATACTTGACTCTAAATGTAATGTATACTAGATTGAGTTATAGGGTACATTTGACTACATAACTAACTACACACAAAAAAACCCCACAGAAATAAATTTAAGTTAATATGTCCACTAACTAGCTTTGCAAGTGTTTAACTACATCTGGTGCTTTACAATAAAAGGACCTGAATTTAGGAATGTCCGTGGTACTTTGCTAAATATTATTACTACTCTCACCTTCCAAGGCAGAGCCATAGGCTGCTTCAAATCCATAGTTGCTGATAGAGGAGTCAGTCTTGAAGCGGATGTACATTGATCTCTGAGTGGACTGTTGCCTGGGTGGAATCGCAACACCGCAAAATTTCCCCAGCAGAGGTGAACTAGATGTGGAACCATCCCTGATCTGGAAGGCATGAAACAGACAGACAGAAACATGCACCATCATAATTGACCCAATATCTCCATCCCCATCTTTTGATCTGTCCACCCACAATTTATACCCCACTTAAAAAATATAATTTTTATTATTACTTTTATTACTATTCACAGGTTGTGGCCTGAATAAACCAAAACACATTTGACAGTCAACATCAAGGCTAAAGGTTCTTCTCAATAGTTGAATATGCTTGACATAACTTTATTAAATAGTAAGCCACTCTTCTTTTTTCACAGGTCTAACCCCGTATAACACATATCCACAGCAGAAGAAAATGGTAGCTAAAGCCAGGAATTTTCAGTCTCTTGATGGGCAAAATGTCCTCCTTATAAACTGCAGCCTGCTGACATAGTGCAGACCACGTCACACCTATGCATAACAGATTGCTCAGGGGTGCTGTAATGACAGCAAAAGAAGGATTAAAATGCTAATAAATGCCACACAAAATCTTCACGAGCCAAGTTTTATTACAGGGAACAAGAATGTCAACAATGGCTCACACCTTTGCTGCACAAGGAAGCACAGTCTGAGTCTGCAATTGATAATCAAGACACTTTTACCAGTCCTGCTACTGTAGTAATCTTTGTGCAGCTGCTCCTTTTATGCCCCAGTTTATACCAGTAGCAGCAGCAGAGCTCTGCAATTTTAGTTTCAACATGCCTTCGTGGTGGGTGGCTCATTTGAGGTCATATTAACCACTCTTGAAACTGACAATCAAAACCACAAATAATAAACTGTGACAAATATTTCTTGCTTACTGTTCAAGTACAGTACTTGAGTAAATGTACTTAATTACTTTCCACCAATGGTTATTAAATGTGCAATAACTGTGAAGACAGGGACATGATAGTATTGATGTTAGTGGATGGGGACTGTGTACAATATGTGTTTATGTTTTATGTATTGTAATAATAGCAATATTAGTACCAATATTACATTATTTCATATTAGTGTTATCAAAATCATCCCCACCATTTAAAAATAATTATTATTGTAAGAAGAAGAATGGCGTTACTATTATCTTTTTAATAAAATATTAAAGTAACATTTGCAGTAGTATTGGTTGTTTCTTGTCAATTTCACATTTAGATTCAGCAGTTTCATTGTATGAATTAGTTTTAAATTCATTTACCTCGACAAAGTCAAAAATGCAGGAGGCTCCTTCGATGTCAAACGACAGGAAGTTGAAAATGACCACATAACCCTCTGGCTGGTTAATGACCCACTCACAGACCTTGTTGTGGGGATAGGCATTGGGATGGTAGGGAGAGCGTATCAGCCCATCCCCAGACAAAGTGCCTCCACAAGCTGTGGTGAGAGGGAGGGTTAATGCTTGGTCAGTGTCTAAAGCAAGATACGTAACTTAGGAAAAATATAATAGCATTTAATGTTAAAACAGGCATAATTTCACTCATGAAATTATTATATTATTTAAAACATGTCACATAAACATGATATTTTACCACATTTGTGTAAATGTGTAAAATCTCACCAACGCTGTAGACAGCCCTGAAGCCAGCCTGGCTGACTGAGCTGTCGGACTTGAAGCGGATCCACAGGAAGTTAGAGGATGAGACAATGGGAGCTGGCAGGGTGCTCCCACAGTACTTCCCTATGAGAGGGTCAGTCTCCAACCTGCCATCACGAACCTGGAAAGAAAGGAGGTAGAAGAAGAGGAAAGAGAAGAAGCAGTGTTCATTTCTTCAGTGACACCTACAATGAAAAAAAAGTCCAAAAAAATGACAAAAACAAGATTAAACTAAATAAAAATAACCTTTTCTGAGTGTTTTTGGCAACAAATAAAAATCTAGCAATCATTTTTGACACACTTAAGATTGTTTTATTTATTTTTAAATCACATCATAGTTTGGTTCCAGCTTCCATTTCTGATGCCTACATCCCACAAACAACATAGTATTGTCTAAGTGCATTTTATTATGAGGTTGCAGCATCCATAAGTTATTCAAGCTCATTTTATCCACTAAATCCAGTAATATGTTTGAGTCATAAACATGTCCGACCTCCACATAGTCAAAAGCACAGCTGGCGTGACTCTCCAGGTTCATGTTAGTGAAGTTGAGGGTTACCCTCTCACCCGCTGGCAACCTAATCAAATAGAGACACTGGCGATTGTGGGCATAATTATCGGGCCAGTTGGGGGAGATGATGGTGCCCTCGCTGTCAGTGAAGGTACCACCACAACCAGGGTCACCTATGACACAACAAACACCAAAGTATATGTTAAATATGGCAAAATTTGAAATATGTATTGATGATTTAATTTAAAAACGTTTTTTAGCTTAGGATGACCCCAAAATCTGTGTGATAAATTTGCAGCTCATGCCTTATGTGCTTCCTGTACTAAATTTTATGCTATTTGCCAAATCTGTTTGCCCTTTACTTGGACCCCTAATTAAAAAGAGCACAGGCATATTAAAAATGACCACAAGGCCTGAAGACAAATCAGAAACATGGTGTGTGTAAAATGCAAAATTAACTGTACATTAGAACTGAATGAGTTTCTAACAATCTAATGTGAAAAAGTGTAGCTTTGCAGCATGCGTCAAGTCACTTCCACAACCCCATGAGTGACACAACAAGCTATGCACTCGACTGCTGGTGTATTGGTGAGAGAGAAGACTGCATTAATTTAACAACACCAACAAAGTGCTTAACTTACATGTCCACCTAAATAAGAAAATGTTTATGGGATTTCTTTTGTCAAAACAGTAATTTTTTTTTTAAAAGCCAATGGAGAAACCACTGACTAAAATTGTCCCATTCTCTTCTCCTGCTCCCAATTTCAAGAATAATCTTTCAGTAAATATGAGGCAGTTGCATATGTACAACCTGTTACATGTCAATATGGCACATATACAGTCTTACTGGGTATGCACACTTTCTTACTTGGTGATGTTGTGTATGTAATGTGGAAGCCTCGGTCAGAGATGGTGAAGTCAGAGTGGAAGTGGATCCATGCAGTTGGGCCGGTAGTCTGCAGAGGGGGAGGTGATGCAGTACTGCAGTACTTCCCTAGAACTGGGTCTTCAGGTAAAAGACCATCCCGAATCTACAACATTTAGCCACACAAGACAATAAATAGAAGAACAGTTGGAAGATGTTTGAGGTTTTGTAGGGTTTGGCCACATTGTAGACTTGCTGTGGGCTTACTGGTGGAATACAGTGTACAAGTGTGGCAAAACAGCAAACACACAAAACAACCTCTTCAGTGTTACAGTACTATGGGTTCAGCACTAAGCTGGGGAAGTAAATGGTTGAGTCTGATGAAGAAAGCCCTGTTGAGTCTATTTCATTCTCTCACCTCCAGGAAGTCAAAGTTGCAGTCAGGGTGATGCTCCAGACTGAGAGTCCCAAATGCAAAGGTAATGAGCAAACCTGGTTGCACTGCCACTGCCCAGTAGCAGTCCCGGCTAGGTGGGTAGTTTCCAGGGTAACCAGGTGAGTTAATGTTGCCATACGGGGCAGTTAGTTCACCTCCACACACTAAAACCAGAAGGAGATTTCAGGGAAAAAATGAACAATTGTTTCACACTTTCTCCTCCGCCTCATGACCACAGTGGCACTGAATCATGAACAGCAAGCAGCAAGCAAGCGGTTGACCCATGTCGGCACAGGGGAAGTGTTTTTCCTCTTCATCACACAATAAGATCAAATTGTTTACTCTGATGAAAAATGAAGGTGCGATCACACCAAAATTTGCTTCTGATTCATGTCAGTGTGAAATGAGATACATTTGCTTTTAGCTGAGAATTGATCACCTGACAATCTGATCAGTATGCCATCTCCCCCTGTTTTGCATAGACATGGACAGGAAGCAAATTTTGGTGTGACTGCACAGTAAGAGCCTGTCTCTGGGAGCCTTTGTTAGCCCACTGTGACTGTTTCACTGTTCCTCCAGGCAGTATTTACTGTCAAAACAGTGCAGAAAAACACTGCTGCAATAGTAGAAGATGATGAATGGATGTACCTGCAAATTAATGTTCACATCTCTGATACTATGGCTCCTGAGGATTATATGCTTTCATGATGAGACAGAAAAAGCATGTAGCAATATTTTAAGGCAATATATGAGCTTGTAGGGTAAAACCTGAAGGAATTTTTATTTGTGGACTAAAAAAAATGCTCTGCCTCACTCTAGCTGAAAATCTGACACACTGATTAAGTCTGAAAACTGCTGCTCTTTTTAAGATGTAGCTGAACCAAGTTTAGGTTTTTGTAAGGATTCCTCATTATACAAGGCAAAACAAATGAAACATCCCTACCTGGGTCCCGAGACTGCCAAGCAATTGTGAATCCACCAGCACTGATGGAGTGGTCAGAACGAAACCAGAAATACAAGGAATTGTGGGAACTAAAGAGCTCCTGGGGATTATTTTCACCACAGTATTTTCCAATCATGTAAGCAAAGGCGCTGTCTCCATCATGAATCTGAAGAAAGTCAAAGTTGCAGTTGGCACTGTTCTCCAGATGAAAGAAAGGAAATGTAATCCGCACAACCTGAAGAAGAGAGCACACAGAATTCAAATTATTTTGTTGGGTCTGCTACATTTAATACTGAATCACATCCACACTAGGCCTCATTTACTTTTAGCTCAAGCTTGTGTCGGTGTTTAACATTGACTCTCGAATGACTGCGAATACTGTGAGACTATAAAGACATATTTTTTTTAGGAGTTGGTAAAGCTCAGATGCTATAAAGACATTTTTTTAGGAGTTGGTAAAGCTCAGATGTGAGGTATAATTATCTGCTGACCAGAAAAAAAAACACTTCAATGGGTTGCTCCCTGAACACCGAGAAAGGTTTTACGTAGTCAAACTTGCAGACCTCTACAGATGGGTAATTTGCTAGCGGAGAAGCCAACTGTGCCTGTATAGACTGAAATTACAACGTAAACAGGAAAAGGAAATCTCTTTGACCTAACTAAGAGAAACAGCAGCTTACCTTGTTTGGGTCAACTTGAATAACCCAGGCACAGCTGACCAGGTGATCGTATTCATCATGACCTGGGGTGTTTGGATAACTGAAAGAACCTGCAGGGCCAGTCAGGTGACCTCCACATGCTGGAACACACATGTAGTATGTTAAGTGAACGACATTAGTTCTGATGCATATGTTGCATAAAGAATGAACATCACAACAAACACACATACAAAATGTTTATACAAAAACATGCATACATGCATCTATGTGCAAATAAAATGGTGAGACTAAGTCACATTTGTATCTGACCTTTTTTACATCTTCCTTTCAAAATATTCTGTTCAAAGATAAAGAATTGTTGCTGTGAAGGCATGCTCTCCTTACTTTATTTGTTAACAGCATTCTGGGATCAAAACACTGTAAGTAAAGTAGGTGAGTACAAGTGAGGGTGGAAGCAGACGGCATGTTTGTTATGTAGCCAGAGAGCTTGTGCAACATACAGTACATACTAGCATTAATGTTGGAGTACACTGCATGGCATATGGGAATCAAATTTTGTTAATGTAAAGTTGCATTATTTGTTGTTTCACAGTAGCAAGTTTTCCGTGAGTCCCTGTAAATGTGAACATTCTGGATCACCACATCCAGAATATTATTTGGATCCAGATCAGACTTTGGTGGGTGGTAGATCTTAGGTGGAAGTTATTTTGCAATTTTTGTCCCAGAATTCTAGGCATTGTGTATGGAGTTAGAAGAAAATATAATGAAATTGGTCCAATCTCATAATGGTGAAGCCTTTAAAAAATTCCTGGATTCCGATGATTATTCCACAGCAGCACCAAAATCTAACGCATTGTTCTGTAGACCGTACCCTACCTCTCCAAACAATATAATCAAAATGCATTAATTTTTTTTTTTTTTCAGTTATGCTGTGAACAAACCAACCAGTAAACGGCAGTAAAACATTACCTCACCTTGGCGGAGTTACAATAAAAGTGATGCCCCTGCACTCAATACATTTATTAATATTAATGCATCCATCATCTTGTCCTTGCAGTTTTCTCCCCTCCTCTTTAGCCCACCACTCCATACTTCCTCATTCCACCTCCATTCCTGCATCTTCCCAGTCTCTCTGTACAGTATCTTTTTGCCCTGCCAGTACCTTGCTGTGCGGTCTGGCAGAGTGGACCAGTCCACTGGGCAGTGCAAGCACATGTGAAACCATTAATCCCGTCGGTGCAGGTTCCTCCATTTTGACAGGGGTTGCTCAAGCATTCATTGATGTTCTGGTTACAGTTCACTCCTTCCCAGCCAGAGTTGCAATTGCAGATGTAGCCAGAAGTGGTGGCCTACGATAGCAACAGTGCACTAATCAGACATTCATGAATTTTATTAACACCATATCAGGGTAGGATTAAATAGCCATTCAAAGATGCGGATTCAGGCTTCAACCACAAATATGCCAATAATGTAAGTCTGAAAGAAAAACAAACAAACTACTGCATGTACATACTCAGGTCTTCTTCTTTCAGTTGACAAACAATTGTGTATTATAATGCATCATTTAGTAAGGTGAGAGACAGATGGTACAGCTGCTCTTCCTGGTCAGATTAAGCCTCAGTTCTGTCAGCTCCTTCTCTTTATAAACATTTAAATCACACTTTTTTGGCTATGGCCTATGATGGTGCTGCACCCCTTATCCTAGAAGAGCGCTGATACACTGAGACAGATGTTAAAATTGATATACAATTCACTGGTACTGTAGAATAATTACAACAGAATAACAACATCTGTGCTGTGTGATTGCTATAATGACATTTAAACACACTGCAGTGTTTTGACATAAATTTGTTTTAACAGAGCTCATTGCACAAGATATGTACGTATATGAAGCTTTGGATGCACACAAAATACCCGTTAGAATGAATTCATTGTTATTGTGGGCTTTTCATGGCATTTGTTGGCTGTGAGAAAATATGCATACAATCACACACACTCACCACACACTGTCCATTGACACAGGGGTTGTTGGTCTCACAGATGTTGTTAGTCTGGGTGCAACCTGTTGGTCCATAACCATTGCCTATGTAGCCTGGAGGACACGTACATATGGGGAGGCTTGAACCTGGTTGACGTGGGAGGAAGAAGAAGAATACTTGGTCATGTCCCACATTACACATCACTCTAAATTTAAAACAATCCTATTGGATTTACTGTAGTTTATATTTTATCATTTCCTTGAACCCGTCTTGTTTTCTAAGTATGTATGTTTCTCTTTAATCAGTTAAAAACAAATAGCATCCCCTACCTTCCATTAGGTTGTGAAGGCAAAATCTTTACTGCTCAGAAGACACAGTAATAAAATCATGCATAAGTTTGCTTTTACCTGGGGTGGAGGAGCATGTAGCTAATGGGTAACACCCCCCATTGTTGGTAGCACAGATATCAGTCTGGGTGCATGTTCTTCCATCTCCCTCATAACCTGCACAAATACACAATGTGTTTTTGAAATCAGTCAGATTGATGTCAGTTTCTTTTGATTTCTGGGTACATGTTTGTGAAATCAGTCAGATAGATGTCAGTTTCTTTTGATTTCTGGGTAAACTGGTCAGATTGTGGCTTTTTATGGTGGTTGTTTATCGATTTTACTGTTTAGGATCCAGTGTAGGGCATCACAAAGGTAGCTGTTAGGATTCCAACATTTCTGGTTTCATGTTTTTTTTACTCAGTAGTTTTGTTATTCAGTGCATTCAAGTGACCAAAAGTATAACAGTTTTCTCATCTACAAACATTTTGTGTACCCACACACATATACACTTCCCCCCATACCTGGAGGGCAAGGGCCACAGTGGAAGGAGCCCATGGTGTTCAGACATTGCACCATGGGAGTGGTGGAGCAGCCGCCATTGTTGGTCAAACATTCATCCACATCCTGACAACTGTAACCATTGCCTTGCCAGCCTAAGACATATTATAGGTGATTAGAACAAACCCAGACTAAACAGCGCTTCCAGTTTATTTCAGCCTGGCATCTTTCCCATAAATATGGCCATTGTCACTATACTGTAGGTCATTTCAGTTGGCTACCTTCTGTGTTTACTTTCAGTCAGACTTGAGACAAATGTTTGAAATGATTCATAAATATTACATCAACCACAATCACAATCATTTGTAAAGCTGTAGCTGTTTGCGTCTACACTCTATTTCAGGCTTTGTGACTTATTTTATCTTAAGCTCAGTATGAGTTGTATTATTGAGTGTTACCAGCAGGACAGGCTCCACAGTAGAAGGAACCCTGAGTGTTGTAACATGCAACAGGAGGGTTGGTGGAACAAGGCTTGTTGGGCAGGTTACACTCATCAACATCAGCTACACAGGCTGGGTTCCCAGCAGGAGCCTCCCAGCCATGCTCACAAATGCACTGGTATTTAGGCTGTTTATTGGGAAAAATAGCCACAGTGTGAAAACCCTGTCAAAATCATATCGCCTGTAAAATAGAATCATAAAAACACAACATCTAAATGAAACAACAATCATGTGGTATAACAGCAGTTGTTTTCAACTACATGTTCTCTGAATGGAGACAGGTTACTTTTACTAGCATTTTCAGCTCATAATGAATATGTAGACTATAATATCTTGACATCACAAAGGATCTTAACACTTAGAGTACATTTGCATTATCATATTTTACTGGAACGGTAATATCCTTGTGGAATAACATGAATGTTCTATAGTCCATAGCAGTTTATATACACCTTACATTTGTTATGGTTTAGTCCCCCTCACCAGGAGGGTGAGGGAGAACTGGGGTTGGACTCAAGATGGCTGACCCAGGTGCTAGTACAAAAAAGGAGGTTTAATGGAATAAAAACAACAAAATGACAACATAACAGGGTCCATAATACATACAACCAGGGAAGGGCAGTGATGACTAAGGAGACCAGGACGAACAGGTAAACACACAAACTAACGGCAGGAACTAGGATAACAGAGGATGAGAACGGACAGGCGAAAAATCCCGCAGATCAAGAAAACAGAGGAGAGAAAGGTGGAGGAGAGGCAGCGGCCACCGAGCGGCCCTGACAACAGTATAATGACGTATTGTGCAAAATATTGAATTTGGATATTTAGGAATGAAATCCTTTGACTGTTTGGCCTCCGTGGACCATGGCCGAAAGCAACTTTATTCCAATCAAATATAAAGTATATTTATATATTTTCATTCTCATCATAAAAAAGTCACAACATTAGCGCTTATTTTATACATTCACAGTCCAGTATTAATCTATCTTTGTAGAAGCTTCCATACTGAGCCGTACAGGTATGCCAAAAAAACACACTTACCATTTTGTTTAACCTTGAAAGAAAGTACAAACCAAAATTGACTCTGTTATTTATTGTACTTTGTTTATGTTGCATTTATTTTAATTTGTTTGTTGACTTAGCAGTTGTAATTAATTGTCCACTCAAAGGTCATCTTATCAAATAATAAAAACTACCTTGAGTTAAAGTCAATCTAACAGTTTAGATTTTCACTCTCTCTGGTCGACTGATACTGCGCGCATACTGCTATGTATTTTTTCAGTGTTAAGTAACCTGTTTAAGTGACTGGTTACCTGTCCAGGTGTGATGCGGTCACTATCAATACAAGTGCCATGTACACACAGGTCCTGTCCTG